TTATTTATGTGTGAATGTTTTTATTTACTTTAAAACTGATATATATTAAACACAGTTTTGAGTATATCATAGTCAATCAATCTTATTAATTCATGTTATTTTTCTTAATGGTATTTTTATTTTGAATGGTACTTCTAATTCTTATTTTATTAGAAAACTTGTCTTCTGAACATTGAATTGGGATAGATTTATGATTCATTTATTCCATTTTTATTTAGTAAATTGTGGATTCCATTAGGATCACCATGTTGTTGCATGTTGCTTACTTCTTACATGTTATTTATGTTGTTTTTGCTACTCTAATATACTTACTACACATGTATCAAAATGCTGTACATACTAAAATTAAAATTATTATTAAAGATCTTGTATTTTTTGTGTTTTTTAAGTCATTAAAGCAGAATAAATACAAAAAATGTTTTTTGTACATGAGTGTCTCACAAAATAACATTTTAAATGAATAAAAAATCATATTCTGATCCTATTTAAGAGTATTTACAGTGTTTAAAGCTTTTCGTAGTTAAACAATGGCTAATTGTATGAGAATAAGTTTTTATTCACATTAAAATATGAATCAAATATATAAATTATAGAAAGTATATATAATGTTCTGTCACACATTTAATACTAAAAGTTATTGAATCACATATATTTATTTAGCAAATTTTATCTTATATATAATACTGGGGAGTGATCTGCCTCCTCGCCGTGCACACTCGTAACATATTTCTATGGCTAAAAAATCTATTACTACTGGCATGTGTTCTTACTCTATGGTCAGTTTGACATGGATGATCATTACATTTTCCATTGAAATACTCTTTGTGAGATTGTGGCACTAAAAACCAAAGGGACAAATCGTTTATTTTGTGATTTTTTTTGTGTGTGATAAATCATTTGCATTAAAAGTTATTTAAAATTTGTTATTCTTTTTACCTCTCATTAAGCGACATAAACAATTTTGATTAAACCTTTCTTGAAACGTGAAGGATATTTCTTTGTAAGTAAAACTAAACAGCATTTGAATTATTTAAGTAGAATATAACTAAAACTCTCAAAATAAACTATAAACAAATAACTAATACTTTCAACTTAAAACACTTGAAACTAAAAAAATACACTTGGAACTGACATACTTATTAGACATATGAATTAAACTAAATATATTTTGCTTTATGTAATAGTAAAATTAAAATGGAAGTCGATTGTTAGCCTGACAGCAATGAGCAACTCAAAGGTGTTTGAACAAGACATCACCGATTAATATTCACTACGATGGCTATTAAGCTGTATTCATAGAAATTTCTTTTTTTAAATTTTCAATTCTATGAAAGTCTTTTAGCGGTGATTTAATTATTTTTGTTTATATTTTCATTGTTTATGTATTTCAATGAAACATGAAACTATTTTTATTTTTTAAAAGGAGAGAGAAGATTTAGGAGAGTTAATTACTATATAGAATCTATAATACAATAAGTTTTACATTATATCATTCACATCAACAGGGTGCTCTACAAATGGGGAGCTGAAATTTGTAAGTAAAACAGACACTATATTCTTAGAAGAGCAAATAACAGGTATGCATTTAGCATGTGATTTGCACATGCACGAGGCGTGCCTCTTACATGTANTAAACAGTCACTCGTGCGAGTAAAACATTCGAATATAAGCTGGTTAATAAACTCATCGCTAAGCATCATAGTTCTGAGATAGAGTAGCAGATACATAAATTATAGTTTTAAAGAAATATTTATCACCCTATACAAACTATAAGAAAAACTGCATGAAATATTAGATGTTCACATGCTTATGTCAAAGCTGAGATAAGTTTTTATCGTGATATTATATGCAATGAAATAAGATAAGTGGCAATGAATTAAAAAAAATAGTAATAATAACTTAACACATTATTTAAAAACAAGAAAAAAATTAAAGCATTTACGCAGGATATTTATTATATATTTTTCTCAAACCTCTTCTGAATGTACTTCATGGATATTCAATTAATTATTTAAATAATAATTTTCGAAGAAAAATTATTATTTCAACATAATCACATAATTGGGTTATAAAATATTATATAGCTAAAATTCTGAAAGCAAGGATAGAAATTATTTTACAATAAACCTTTAATTATTAATTAAATTTCTTTAAATTTTCGTTTTTTTCCCCTTTATTTACAACTGATTTGTTATACTGGCTGGGAAGCATATAAATCCTACCCTAAATTCAATGTTGTTTAATAGACAGTTTATAACAAACATGCATAATGACTAATAAATTTTAAAGAAAAAAAATCAATACAAACATACGCACCTTCATACTATGCTATCACCGTGTTATGGAGTACCTTATAGTCAGACTTAATTTTGAAAGATGTCTCCATGAGTGATTCCTTAAGGATTGATGCGGCTTAGAAGGGGCAATAGGCGGAAAGATACGTGATATTAAATAAGAAACAAGTTTCCTCACTAAATCCCAACTGAGCCATTCTGCATCTTTTAAAGATTCAATTGAATAATATTTTCATTTCGACATAGCCTTCTTTAAATAATTCCATCTGCTTCTTCACAATTTATTTTGAATTGTTTTCTCCATACAAAGTTGTATCCTAAATCGAAAGGAAACAAGTGTGAGGAAGAATTATGAAACATGCATTATATGTAATCTAATTAATAATGTCTTAAGAAAAATATTAACAACTATTTCTTACATGAATCATAACAAACAGTAACTTTAAGTGGAGAGCCTACTCACTTAAAAATAAGAATTTTTGTGATAAATATTATTAAAATCTAACTAAAAAGTTTTATACATACTTGAAATAAATTAATTCTACTCTTAATAGACAAAATAGTTAAATAATAATGTGTATTTGTGAAAATATCAGCAAAATCCTTATATTCGAAGGTCTGCCATCCTGAAGCTCAACTACCTAACACAAGACTTCTTTCATAAATTTTAGCAAAATCTGTTTGAAACATTTTCAAGAAGTTTAGAACATTTAAAAAAATTCATTAAATCTACCGTTGAAAAACAAAGGAATTAAATAATAATGTCTGTTAGTAAAAATATCAGAAAAATCCATTCACTCAAAGCTGTTACCCGGAAGTTTATTTACAAAAACAAAGCAATTTATATATTGTAGAATATTTTTTATCCCTATTTATCATACAGGCATTATACTTAATTAATATCTAATGTAAAAAATCAACTGTTTCTCATATGAATTACAACAAACATCTTTATGGAGAGAGCACATTCTCACTCGCAGAACAGAAGATTTTAAACAAATATTATCTAAACCTAACTAAATTATTATAATAGATTTAGGACATTTCAAAAATAAAAAAAAATTCTACTGTTAATAAGCAAAAGAATTAAATAATAATGTGTATTAGTTAAAATATCAGGAAAATCCATTCATTCAACTCTGCCACCCAGAAGTTTATTTACAAAAACAAAGCAATTTAAAAACACTGAAACAATTTTTTTATCATTATTTGTTCCTATATATTATACAGGCATTATACTTAATTAATATCTTACGTAAAACACAACAACTATTTCTAATTTGATTTAAAACAAACACTATTTTTAAGGAGAAAGCACACTCACCCACAGAACATACGATTTTTTTTACACAATTATCTAAACCTAATTAAGATATATTAATTATTGGGACTTAGATAAAAATAAATTGATTCTACTTTTAATATATATAATAATAAAATAATAAAGTGTATTGTTAAAAATGTCGCCACCCAGAAGTTAATAATCATAAAACAAAGCTATATCAACACATTGTAAAAAATTATTTGACAATTATTTTGACGTATTTATGAAGCAGACATCCCAGTTAATCTAATTTATTAAGATCTAATAAAAAAAATCAACAATTATATATATAGTATGTATTGTAATAACCAACATCTGCGAAATGAAACAGAACTCACTCACCACCGATAAATATTTTAATTTTTTTCCTTTAAAGACTGTCACAATTTAGCCAAAACTTACTATAAAGTTTATTAGAACTCTATTCTACACGAAAATCGACCTTTTATACTTCAAAAATTTAAGGAAAATATAAAATTTGCTACTTTATTACAAAATGACATCAAAATCCCATAGACTTACATTAGAGTGCTCGCCACCCAATTGATGTATACAAAGATCACGACGTCACGTGCCCGTGCCTCATTCGCTGTCTCTCTAGCTTAAGCCAGAGCCTTATTAATGGGATCAGAAAGTTATAAGCTTAAAACAAAGATCTCGTCTCACTATACTACACCCATGCCTTTGTCAATCCTTCATTCCAAACAATCCGAGCCTCTATAATCCGAAATTATATGAGTTAGGAAATCTGAATCAGGAAAAATGTGCTCGAAAAAATTTGTGTATCATGTTAAATAGTAAATCTTGCTTCAATATGTGCGAAATATATTAATTGATTTTAGTTTATGTGCTCTAAGTACTTCCACAATGATTGTCGAAAATACATCGCCAATGAATGAAGAAATATAATTATAGGTATTAAATAGAGGACCTCAGTTGAATCTAGTGGGCGTCACAGATAGCGATACGGAAATATCCCCTAAGAGTTATCTGACTAAGTATAGTTGTGTTTATACAAGAGTGAAATCTTATTCTTGTAGTATATATAACAAGAGTTTTCCACAAAGAATTCATCTGACTATGCACCTTCCTGTTCACACTGGTGAGGAACCTTTTTCCTGTCCTATATGTCATAAGACTTTTCCCCATAGAAGTAATCTGACTACACACGGTTATGTTCATACTGCTGAGAAACCTTACTCTTGAAGCTCATGTAATAGGAGTTTTTCACTAAAAAGTAATCTAACTAAACACAATCGTGTTCACACTGGTGAAAAACCTTATTCTAGTATATAATAAGAGTTTTTTCATACAAAAGTCATCTGACTAAGAAGAGTTCTGTTCACACTGCTGAGAAACCTTATTCTTATTGTTTATGTAATATGAGTTTTTCACAACAAAGTCTTCTAACTGAGCAGGGTCTTGCTCACATTGGTGAGAAACCTTATTCTTGTAGTATATGCAATAAGAGTTTTTCGCAAAAAAGTGTTTTGACTAAACATAGTCGTGTTCACACTGGTGAGAAACCTCATTCTTGTAGTGTATGCAACAAGAGTTTTTCGTTTAAAAGTCATCTGACTGAACACAGTCGTGTTCACACTGATTAGAAACCTTATTCTTGTAGTGTATGCAACAAAAGTTTTTCGCAAAAAATTTCTCTAACTGTACACAGTCGTGTTCACACTGGTGAGAAACCTTATTCTTGTAGCATATGCAATGAGAGTTTTTCGCTAAGAAGTCATCTGAATAAACACAGTCATGTTCACACTGGTGAGAAACCTTATTATTGTAGTATATGCAATAAGAGTTTTTCGCAAAATAGTCTTTTGACTAAACACAGTCGTGTTCATACTGGTGAGAAACCTCATTCTTGTTGTATATGCATCAAGAGTTTTTCACAAGAAAGATATGTAACCAAACACAGTCGTGTTCACACTGGTGAGAAACCTTACTCTTAAAGTATATTCAACAAAAGTTTTTTAGCAAATAAGTTATCAGTCTAAACACCGTCTTGTTCACACTGGTGATAATCCGTATTCTTGTGCTACATGTAAAGAGTTTTTCATGCTAAAGTTATCTAAGCACAGTTATGTTCAGACTAGTGAGAAACCTTATCTGTGCAGTATGTGTATAAGAGTTTTTCACGTAGATGTCATCTGACTGAGCACTTTGCGTTCATACTTGAGAAAAGCCTTATTCTTGTTGTATATGTAATAAAAATTTTACTCTCAACAGTAATCTAATGAAACACAGCATTGTTCATACTAGTGAGAAACCTGATTCTTGTAGTTAATTATTAACCCCGTTAACTGACCTTACGCGAAACACCCAGTGTCGAAGCCCCGGTTTGGAAATGTTGACCACGATTCGAAAAGGGTATTTTTCATTATTTTTGGACACTCTGTTTCCTAACTGGGGGTTTCTTAACTCACTGTTAACTTGCACTCCGTGTTAGATTTACAACTTTATTAACTGTGATTGCTTTCAATTTTCGCTGCTATTTTTAAAACTATTTTTCTATGAAAGAATTAAAAATAGATTGCATTGAGTAATTAAATTTGAATCACTCTTTTACTGGGCAAATGAAAAAGATGTTAAGTTTTGTTTTCCTAACTGAGTTGCATGAATGAGCAAAAGGATCTAAGTATTATAATTATGAATTTAGATATTTTATTATTATCGATATCATAAAGCTGCACGCAAACATAGAAATATTACTAAAATTCAATTAAAAACTCTTTTATTTTTAACAAGGATCAAGAGGATTATGCTGCATCATTCTTATGCTTATTCACATTTCTAATAGTTAACATATTATCAATAACATATTATTAATAACATAACATATTATCAATAACATATTATTAATAACATAACATATTATCAATAACCTAAACCACTGAGAAATATTTTCCTTTTTTCTAAAAACTTAAAAATGAAATTGTATAAAATAAACTTCTCAGCAGCTCAGATAAGCATAAATCAATACATTCCTACTGTTCAAAATAAGCTAGAAACAACTATTATTGTGCTGCCTCTGATGATGATAGAGAAATTTACCGTAAGAGATATGATGAATAATATAACAATTATTTTAAAGGCAAATGTCTTAACATGAACAAATATTCCAAAACTTTTAAAAAAATCATCAATTTAAAAATTTTATAATTTAAATAACTGCTTTATAAAGCAGTTACATGTTTTGGTGCATGAAATGTTCTGTTATAATATATAGCAGGTTCTGTTATATATAGCAAGGTTGGGATTTTGAACATGACACGTGGGTTTCACTGTCTTAAACTGGGTAAAACTGTCTTAAAGAGTCCAAAACCTTGAACTTTGGTAAAAGGTAAAAATTCTATAGGTGTAACCATTGTAGACGTAATAATTACATGTATCAATAAATATTTTATATTTTTTATACAATTTACTATAGCTTATTAAAAGAAGATACTATATTATAATATGAAAAGGTTTATAATTTTTGAAGCTCCACAATTCATTGAACAACAACAGTGAATACCTAATCCTTTAAATATAAACATGCTTTTAATACTGATAAATGTTTTTGCATAAGGATAAGTAAGGCAATATTAAAAAATATATATATATTTTTAAAAAAATTAAATTTGTTTACCTTTTATTTTTCACAATATATTTTTTTTTAAAAATGTTATAATTTCTGTTAATATAAATATAAATATTATAAAAATGTTATAATAAATATTATTTTTTATATTAATTTAAATTGGAAATACAAAATAACTGAAAAATGTATTAACAGTTTTGAAGGGCATAACATCAGTTTCAGTTACTGACACTGGTGATGTATCACCACTATGCTAAAAGAATTGAACGTGAATGAAATGAAAATATTCTTGAATAGTACTTATAGATGAATAAACCTGTTTATGACTAGCCAAGTACTTAGTCCCTAAAAGTTTAACCTGTATGGTAAGGCCAAATTTCATTTATGTACTATTGAATGAGAGGACCAATTGAACTTGATTACTGATTAATCTTCCTTTGTTTAATGTTTATATTAAAGAGTCAAACAATATTAATAAAACATTATACTTTTAAAAACAAATATTTTCTAGTAGATTTAATTATTAATATGTTATTATTAGTTCGATGTTTATTTTACCTCTTAAATATTGTTCAGATAAAATTGTGACACTATTTGAGTAAAAGGGTTTTGGACAGGACGGTGAAATCCTTGGATTAATCCATTTTGTCCTAAACCTTGCCAACCCTGCTTTATAGTATTACATAATCAGGGCTCAAAGTAATCCTTAATTTCTTTTTTAAAAAAAAGAAAGTATTCTTAATTATTAAGCATTGCAATAGATGTCCTGAAATTTTTGTGATTTTAAAATTTTGTTGAAATTAACAGGGAGAAAAATAATTGAAAATCTAAAAAAGAATTGAAGAAA